TGTGTCAGAGCAAGAGAGCTGTGCCATGCCTCCTAGTCTGTACAGACTGAGCTCTCTTCAGTTTGCCTCCACAGACTACAACCGTGGGCTTCCTAAAAAGCAAACTGGACACAGTGGCCCAGTTTTTCAATCACTGGCTGATGTCTTTAAATAACACTGACCTGTCTTAGCGTGGCGTAGACCCTGCTCCCAGCCCCATCACACCCCTGATGGAAGCTACTCTCCTTTTTCATCTCACTTCTGTTTCCTGCAAAGGCCACACCATGATTCTGTGCCTTTGAACACACTGCATTCTCTGCCTGAGCACCCTGCTCCACTCTCCTCCCTCAACAGACCCACAGAGCCTCCAGGGTTCTGCCAGGAGCCAGCCCCGCCCACCCTCCTGGATCTCTACCCAACCTTGTCCCAAACTTTTAAAATTGGTCCCACTGTGAGCCCACCTCTTCCAAAGCCTCCCCCAATGAATCATAGTCTTGAGTGAAAAATCAGGATTTATTCATATTTTCATTCCAATATTTTCCAGTATCTGGTCCCTAGTGGAGTCTCAGTTAGAGACCTATAAATGATTTAAAGTTGAACTTGATTTTTTTCTCAGATGTGCCAACTAGTGACTTGGTGTTCTATACAGAATTCAATAAATTCAGTTATCTTTATTTATGTACACCTATTATGGGCACTCCTTCCAGGAAGTCTACAGGATTCTCTCTCCACCATCCATGGATCAAGCACCTCCCTCCCAAGATGTAGTTATTGCCAATGACTTTCCTGTCCTGTCTTGGCTATCTTAGAACAATAAGAGATGAAAGACATTCTAAGAATCTAAGAGGGCTTTTCTCTACCACTTTAACAATGGTGACCTCTTTGAAATATTTACAAAATAGTGCTTTTGTTCTTCCTTTTCAACTGTGAATCTGACAGACTACTTTATTAAATGCATTCACTCCTTTCATATCTTTCTTGGGCACCTGCTACATTGGAGTCATGGTCCAAGAAAAAGGGCATGTATGGACCAATCTACATATAAATCTGATATGCTTGAAAATGTTCAACATTATATGGTTTAGGTCTAAGCCACTGGTTTCAATAAACCTGGTGAATGATGAAATTTTAAAGGCACTACATATAAGCAGAAATGCAGAAAGCAAAGGCAACAAATATGAGAGATAATGCCAGGAAAGTAACCTGTCCCTTTCCAATGCCCCAGCTAGGGGATACAGTGTACCTCTTGATGCTTCACCCTTCGGGGGATTTGAAGAACACACAGCCATATTGCTTTCAACATGAAGTTTTCTTTGAAGCCCTAAAGCCTATGTGAGACTCCCTAAGAAAAGAGCTCCTATGTAGACAAGTTGTTGTGTGCCTCAACATCACCCAGGCTGAACCTCCCCACAGAAGCTCAGGCTGAGCCTGGGAATAGGAAATAAGGTTCTTCATCTCCCTAGGAAGCCACAAAACACATTTTCTTGCCTTGATGGGAAAATCTGAAGATTGGATTTTTTTCAGGATCAATAAGGTACCTTGAGGAGTAATTTACAGTAGAATGTGAAAACAAACACGGAAAGAAAAGCCCCAAACAGCACATTCCCCATCCTGAGACAGAGAGGAGACCTCCCCTGGCTACTCCTGAGGTGGTCCCTTCTCCTTCTTATTTACTGACTAATTTTTGTTCTCTCTCAAATTCCTTTAGACCCTGAGTCACCACTTGGGAATTCATTTGTTCCCATGTCTGTCCTCCTATTGCATACTTCAGTATGAATGTCTCCAGCCAGGGAAGAGAGAAACAGGTGGAACAAAAGAGAAGCTTCCTTGGGAAATGAGCTGCTCTTGAAAGCTACTAGAAGGCAGGGCGGTAGAGAGGAAGGAGGGCGGATGGCTGCATAGTCTGAAGCAGACTCAACCTACCGGCCAGCAGTTTCTCCAAGTCTTCAGTGACTCTTCCTTTCTTCCTTCCTTCCTTCCTTCCTTCCTTCCTCCCACCCTTCCTCCCTCTCTTCTTTCCTCCCTGCCTTCTCCCTCCTTCCCTTCCTCGTCTCTTCCCTTTCTTCCTTTCTTCATCCCTTCTTTCCTTCTTTCCCTCTCTCCCTCCTCCCCAATCAACAAGTATCATGGCTCCCATTCCCACATGTAGCTGTCATGGGAATACAGGATATACATTCACAAGACTCATGGTCCCTGTTCTGTTTGGTGATTCCTACCCATAACCCTTGCCTGGGGATCTCTAACTGTCACTCAGTTCTGAGTCCCTGCTATTACTCATTCCAGTCATTAAAAAAGCAAATGCTTCTTTAATGAACAAAATTATCCCAACAGTTTCTCCTCAGAAAAAAAAAGTCTAAGCAAGTGACAATCTAGCTGGACATCTTTCAACTCTACACGATGGCAGTGTTCCAAAGAAAAAGAAACAGTGGGGTTTATCTGGACGAGTGAACTATGAATCTATTTTCAGTTCATAGTGTCCTAAAACTGCCTATTCACGAAGCCCAGATAACCATGGAGTAAAATATAATAGCAATGTATGATAATAAAATATTCTTATAAATAATAGCAAGACATAATTCTAATGATGAAGCCCAGATAAAACATTTAGGCATGAGACACTCTTATGCCTTTGGAAGGACTGGACTGGTATTTCTCGCCCTGCAAATGGTCAACCTTCATGTTTGTTCATCAGCCCTGACTCTGTCACACAGTTGCTCAGTCAAGTTCAAAGCTGTTTACCTTGACGCTATGTCCTATGCCAGTTTCTGGTCCAGTCCTGAATAAAGCAGACAGAATTGCCATAGCAAAGATGGACACTCTCCTGGCCCCTGCTCAGGCCTTTTAGGCAGTAAGTACTTAGTAAGTGACCATCTGACTCACTGTGCTACTCATACCTACTTGGTGTGGAGGGGAGTATTTTGCTTTTGACCACTATCATCAGAATGTTATCTAGTTTATGCCAGAAAACTCTACAGGCATCAGTTACTGTATCAGTTACTATATCCACTGACACAACAGTAAATGCTTACCTTGCTCCTTGGTGGGATGGGGGAATGTGTGTCAGTGTACACATGCATACATAAATACAAATGAATCTAGTATGAATTTTACTGCTAGAAAGTACGGCATGTGATTTATAAATACCAATAAAATATACAATATTCTTTATTGCAAAGCCCTTAAAATGCAATAACTCTCCACAGATGCATTTGCTTATTTATTTGAACCCCTGAATCTATAGCCAACAGTCATAATTAATATGTATGTACAATTTTGATCTTAATATTGACTATTTTCATTCACTTAACTATAGCAAGACAAAAATGAAGCAATCAAGTCCTCTTAGGAACTGACTTGCTTGCCAATGATATAAGCAACAGTCTTGTTAAACCAAGTCATGGTTTTAAAATATTAGAAGAATATTTTCTCAATTCTTTGGGTGATTACTATGTAACTGCCACAGAAATTTTTCCTTACAGTTGTATATTTACTTATTTATGCGTGTGCACACGTGCATGCACAAACATGTCATGACTTGGGTGTGGAGGGGTGTCTGAGAACTACCTGCAGGAGTTAGCACTCTCCTTCCATCAAGTAGGTTATGGGAGTCAAACTCAGGTCATCAAGGTTGGCAGCAAGTGCCTTTACCTGCTGAGCCATCTTACTGGTCCTGAAAAGTATCACTTTAATCTGCATTATGAATATCTTCTCTATTACTTTCTTAAATCTAGACCATGAATCATAAACGGCCTCTCCAAAAGACCAAAGAATAAATAAATTGGGTTTTGTGAACCACATGTGGTCTCTGTCACATATCTTTATTGTATGTTTTGTTTTTACAATCCTTTAAAAATGAAAAAAAAAACCTAAAGCTATCCTTTGCTTGCAAGCCACACAAAACCAGCCTTGGGTCAGATCTGGAATGGCAGTTTGCTGATACTTGGTCTAGACAGCTCATGAAACAATAAAACAAGCTGTGATTTATATCATCTGTGATTCTATGTTGTAAATATCCTGTCTGTGGACAGTTCCAAGATCACATGACTTCACTGGACAGGTGCTGAGAAGATGCGGCAGGGCATCATTATCCAGCATTCAGACATAGACACAGGACTGTGTAACTTCAAGAGTGTATCAATACAGCGTGGAGTACAGAGTCTGAGCATTTGCTGTTTCTTGGTGTTATGTATTCACCTTTTCACTGATATAATTTAATTTTTAGTGATAGTTGTTGATCAAATTTCTATCATTTTAATGATTTCTATGAATTAACTGCAGCCTGGGACATTACAGGTCTTATGGGGCTCCGGGAATCAGCTCCGCCTTCCTGCAGCTCCCTATCTATGCCACTGAAAAAGCCACGCTGTTACACTGCATGGTCCCAAATGTGGCATGATAAGTAGATTTTGAACTCTGTGCTTTGTCATTTGTCTGAGACCTTCCCAGTCTAATAGCCTAAAAAAGCCAGTAGATAAATCAACTCGGGAGATGCTTGGGAGCTTGAGGATTACTGGGTGCCCATTTCCTTGGCGGGGAATATCTCTTGGACTTTGCCATCCCAGACTGCAGAACCCACCAAAGTAAAATTCATTGAAAGGCGCCTCTCCCCTGACTAAGGGTCAGGACAGCATCTTAGAGGAAAAGGTCCCATGAATCTTACTGGAGACATGTGGCTGGCGGCTGCTGGGCTTCTGAAGGACCGGGATATTCAAAATGCATTTTGTGCTGCGTGTAGCAAGATAGAGCAAACTTCTGAAGGTAGTAAGAACAATAAAAAGTAATAGCGCCTGTACAGACATCCAAAAGGATCAAGGGAAAGAATAAATTCACAGGAAACCACAGCGGTATAACTGTTAGGGAATTCAGAAGCCAAAGACAAAGAGAATGTAGCAGACTTTTTGGGGTGCCTTGTAGTGCTTACTTTTAAAAAATGTGGATTTTACACGTTTTGGTCCTGGCTGCATCTCAGTGTAGCACTGGCATTGGATAAGCAAAACCTAAGAGCACAGAGAATTCATGCAGGTAAATTAGTTCAGGCTACTTTTGTGGATGGCAGACTCTAACAATAAACAGATAAATACAGCCTCCGGATTCCAACTTTGCTTCTAATCTTCTAGAAGGAGTAGGTGCAAGAAAGCGTCCCTGATATTGGGGTGTGGGGGGAGACTTTTGCCCTTAATTGAAATCATTGTTTTTCTAGGGAAATTTAATTTGGGGAAAAATGTTTTTCTAATTAACTGGATGATCGTGTGCTGTGCAAACAATAAAGATTATTGTTTGAAAGTAACGCATGCCCCTGCTCCTAGGACTGCCCAGGGAATTTAAAATGAAAAAAAAATGTAAGCAGCTCTAACCTCATGTTTTATCAGAGCTAAAAAGACTCCCTGGCTCCCTGGCTTTCATGTCAGTTCCCAATTGAAAAGCCATAAGTGCTGAACGGGTCCACACTACACGGAGACACCTTTTTCTCATCGCTGAAAATGGCTGAGAATGATTGCAATCTGGGTTTCTCAGTGGGTGCGTCCTTCTATCCCTTTTTGTTCTTCTTGTGCTGGGTTTGGCCTGCAAGGTTAGAAACTGCACATACTGATGGCTCAGAGGAAGAGTTCATAACACTGGTGCTGGGCAGGGCAGTCTAGCCAAATTCCATCCATTAACTCAGGCGCCAGCCCGAGTGTGACCAGCAAGAATGCCGTTTTGGTTCCATAGAAGAGCTGATAGGAAATCGGAAATGCCTTTTCATTTTCCCGTCTGTCTCCTTCTGTTTCGGTTCCTAAGAGGCAATATATGGACAAATGGAGAGTGTAGGATTCTAGACTATGGAAGAAAGGAGTTAGTTGTCAACTCAACCCCTAATGAAGAAGCTTAACCAACCTCCATTCTCTTTTTGACTGTTTTAATATATTCTGATACTACTTCATATACTAAAATTGGAATGATACCGAGAAGACTAGCATGGCCCCTGTGCAATGATGTGCAACTTCGTGAAGTGATCCATAATATTTTTAGTCAGGTGGTGGTGGTGCACATCTTGAGTCCCAGCACTCAGGAGGCAAAAGCAGGTGGATCTCTGAGTTCAAGGCCAGCCTGGTCTGCAAAGTGAGTTCTAGGACAGACAGGGCTATACAGAGAAACCCTGTCTTGATGGGTGAGTGGGGGATTATCTATGTATTGGCATCAGATTTATGCCTATGTTGGACTTAAAGAATACTCAAATCAGAAACCAAATATCCAATCCAGTTGACATTTCCAAAGCTGCTGACACAGCAACGGGGACTAAGCTGGGGGCTTCGGAGGGCAACACTATTACACATGTCTCCTGCCACACATGAGCATTAAATCTACAGAGGAGGCTCTAAGACCACCACGGGAATCACAGTTCTAAAATGTAAACTGCTCTGACCTCTTAAATGCAAACAGCAAAACAAAGAAACAAGAGCTTCTTGGAGAGAGTCTGAGAGTTGCTGGGGGAGGGAGAATTGGCAGGGATGCTTCCCCCCTGGGAAGCTAGAGGACACTACAGTACCATATCCTTTGAAGTAAGGGACACTTTGGGTAAGGGACACTTTGAAGTAAGGGAAGCTTTGGGGAAGAGAACATACTAAGAGACAAAACAGTGTAAGCAATGATGGGTGGGGGAGAGGGCTGGAGAGGAGATGAGAGGGTGAAAATACAACTTCCACAGCACTCTTCCTGAGTATACTCTATACAGATGGGCTGGGGCCGCCTGTGACTTGAGGACCCACAGGATAGCAGGTTTTATATGTGTGTTGGCAGTGTTGTTCTGCTTTAGATTTGTTGTTTGTTTGTTTGTTTTATCCACAAAAGAGAAATCAATTCAACATTGACAAAGTGTTATTTGTGGATGTTTTTACTTCTGCAGCATCTTTACCCTTTGAGACAAAGCAGCCTGAGGCTTAGGGAAGTGTGCAAACCACAGCACTCTGCGGCTTGTGATGGTATTCTCTGCTTGTGCACCCAAGTTCTTCAGAGTCACAAACCTTCTGACATGGAGCCTGTGACACTTTCTACCACATTGAAGATTTCATGTGACAGGGCCAGACAGTCGGGAGCCCTTTTCTTCCTAAACTTCTGAACTGTATTTTATATGGCTGCCAACAACTCCCTGTAGTGTGAAGCTGCAACTTTCCAGTCCTTAAGTTCATTTTCTGACGCTAGAAGAAAATATCAGAGACTGGGTAGTTTAGAACAGAAAGAGGTTTGTATTTGGGGTCATGGTCCCCATGCACTGGGAAGTTCAGGCACAAGATACCAATAAGAACATCACCCTTCTTCAAGCCTGAGAACAGGAACGTAAAGCAGAAGCAAAACAGGGAACTGCCTTGTTTTGAGACAACCCACTCTATGGCAACTAATCAGGTCCCATAAGAAATAACCACTCCTTTGAGAGTGACATTAATTCCTCTTAACTAAGCATCTCCCAAGGGCACTACTGCTTCCCAGCTGGTACCCTGGAGACCAAGTTCAGCATGGCTGGGACAAGTTGTACTCAAACCATAGCACTGTCCCAAATGAGTCAACGCTTTTGAATCCTAGGTACAAAATTAAGTATTTGTTTAAGTCACAAAGCTCACCATTTGAAATGGCCACACTTATCTAATATAAATGTGGTATATCACAGATCTATGCCACAACCTGACCTCCAGGACCATTGATATCTTTCTATGCTCTTCCTAGTTGTTATGAGCCATGCATCTATTTCCTATACTCAACAGAGACAGTCTTTAGGATCTTTATCTTCAAATTATATATCTTACCTGGATGTTTTATAAAAGCCTTCAAACTACCTGCAGGGACCTTTTCAGAGGGGACATATTCAACTGCCTTCCTAAAATCCCCTTTGCTCTCAAGGAGACTCGGTCTCTCTATTCTCTCCTTCTTCTTTAGCTTCTTTAACATCATTTTCATGTAAATTCAGGCCAAAAAGAGCAGTCTCCCCCCACCACACACACACACACACACACACACACATACACACACACACACACACACACACACACACACACATCACCCACCTAACTCCACTCCCACCCAAAGAAGTACATGGAGGAGAAACACTGTTGGTAACCTGGAACCAACTGGATATCCCAAAAGGGAGAATGTGTTCCCTCTGACATGAATTATTTTCCTCAAACTCCTTCACCTATGAGACTCTGATGAGGCAAGGGGTCTAATCAGACACAGGGTAGGACCTGGTGGTGACTACCAGAGCAGATTCTGCCTCCCCACAAACCTGCCTCTAGTTTTGTTTTGTCTGTCAAGGAGCCAGGCCTTGTGCTCTACTGAAACATGTTTTCATAAAGCACATTTCAATAGAGTATACTTTTTATTCAGACAAAAACAGTGGTTTCTTCAGAAACGTTGAGCATTGTATCTTTGAGCAAAGCCTCACTAATCGCCTGCCAAAAACTCTGTTATAATTCCAAACCCTTCCTCTGATTTGAGGCTCTCACCTGAATTGTTAGACCAGAGTCCCAGCCCTTCCCTGGAAAACTTGGGTCTCTGTGCTGGGGTTTTCTTCCTGTGGATCAGGATTTAGGTAAGGGGTTCCCTATTACTCAGAATCTTGGGTGACAGAGTTGATCCTGAAGGTTCTACAGGCTGCTGGTGCTGTTGACTGAGCAGATAAGATGGTTCTCCAGCTGACTCTGCCAGCTGTTGGCACAGGTCCAGCTCAGTGAAGGCTCCTTTGAGGGGTCCCATTTTGTAAGCAGATTCAGGAGACCCTTGTCCCACCATTGCATAATATATGCCCATTGTGATCTGGGCCCTCAGACTGTTGCTTCTCGGGTTGTACATCCAAGAAGAGAAAGGAGAGAGCCTGTCCTGGAATTGGCTGTTCTGACCAGTGACTCATACAGGTCACTGGGCTGGGTCCTCCCTGAACAGCTTCTGTGGGCTGCATGATTGTGATGCTTAGAGCTTGACTCCCAGAGGCTCTGAATCCCAAGAAACAGAGAACAAAGGGGCAGGTGGAGACGTCTCATCACTGCAGCAGGAATTAGAGCAGAGGTTCCCAACCTGTGGGTTATGACTCTTGGGCATCAAGTGACCCTTTCACAGGGGCCAATTAAGACCGCTGGAAAGCACAGATATTTACATTCAATTTATAACAGTAGCAAAGTTATAATTATGAAGTAGCAATGAAAATAATTTTATGGTTGGGTATACTCAGACATTCTTTGGACCACCAGCTCCCAAATAATGACACAGAATGTTTTTTTTTTTAATTATGAAAGCTTGGCCTCCATGTCTAACTGGAAAACTTGCTACCTCTCAAATTCTTCCCTTGATTTTCTCTCTCTCTCTCTCTCTCTCTCTCTCTCTCTCTCTCTCTCTCTCTCTCTCTCTCTCTCTCTCTCTCTCTCTCTCTCTCTCCCTGGAAGTCCCGCCTATCATCTCTTGCCCAGCTATTGGTCATTCATCTCTTTATTGAACCAGTCAGAAGGTGCCCTAGGGAGGTGAGGCAAAACAGAGACATCTTCACACAGTGTGATCAAACATCCTGTAACAGTTGGGGGTGACCACAGTATGAGGAACTGTATTAATGGGTTGTAGCATTATATTATTATAGCAAGGATATTTTTGTTTCTAGAGTACTCCCCTACATGTTATTCTAGATGTGTTTTTATATTTGCTGCCTTTTAAAGATTTATTTTTATTTCATGTGTATGTGTGAGTGTCTGTATGTATGTATGTATGTATGTATGTATGTATGTATGTATCTGGTAGACATCAGACCTCTTGGAACTGGAGTTATGGGCAGTTATTAGCTGCCATGTGGGTGCTGAGAACCAAACCCAGGACCTCTGTAAAGGTAGCCAGTGCTCTCAACTGAACTGTCTCTTCAGCCTCTGCTACCGATATTTGCTTTGAATGCTAATTGCCCCAAGTTTTACTGTTCCTGCTGCTGTTTACCTTCAGTTTGGTGTGCTATTCCACTCTGATAACAAAGTTCCCTCAATTTCACTTTAAGAGACTCTGCCTTGCCGGGCATCCCAGCACTTGGGAGGCAGAGGCAGGCGGATCTCTGTGAGTTCAAGGCCAGCCTGGTCTACAGAGCGAGTTCCAGGACAGCCTCCAAAACAATACAGAGAAACCCGGCTTAAAAAAAAACAGAAAGAGAGAGACAGAGAGAGACAGAGAGAGACAGAGAGAGAGAGAGAGAGAGAGAGAGAGAGAGAGAGAGAGAGAGAGAGAGACTCTGCCTCTTTAAGAGCTAGTAGCTCACAAGAAGAATTAAAACAATTTGTAAAAAAAGGAATCTATAGATTTCTTTAAAGCCGTCAGACATGGCGGCTCACACTTACAACATCATGAGTTCAAGACCTGTCTAGACTACATAGGAAGTTCCAGGTCAGCTGGGGCAACAAACTGAGACTCTACCTCAAACAAATAAAATATATATGTATGGGTTTCAGGGTATGTAAGATAAGGCAATAAAGGCATGACTTGGGAGTTGATATATAATTTTAATCATTTGATTCTAAATACATTTTATAATATGTCTGAGAGCATCAAAGACAGGAGATGGGAAAAGATTTACATAAAAGAAAAATACCACTATTTTGTCTAAAGTACTATGGGGAGGCGGCATACATACACAAACAGCAAAATCTATAGTGAGTACCAGGGAGGGAAATAATAAGGGATACTTCTCAGATTTCTCACAGTCAACAACAGAAAGGACATACACCATAAAACATAATACAGTGTTAATGTTAACAAAGTATGCTGGGAACACAAATTGAAGGATATTTAGTTAACTATGTCTGAGGGCTCTAGAGCTGACTTTTCTGACTCTCATAAGCTCATCAGCATTTCACCAAGCAAAGCTGGAAGACAAAAGGTCACCAAGAGTAAAGTACACAGTGATCAGTTAAACAGAGGCTTACAGCAGAAAGCCCTTCTTCCTGCACGGGACAGGAATAGTATTCCTGGCTGTGACCAGACATGAGGGTCCTTGAATGCCTTTTTAAGATTTCATATTATTCCCAAAGCAACTGTACATGATGAAGAGGGTTTAGGATGAAGAATGAAAAATGGCTTTAATCTGTAATTCAAATTGTAAGCAGGGAGAGTCAAGTGGAAAACCCAATTTAGAAGCCCCTGGGTGTTGATGCTTGTGGTTAGCAAGGTTGGTTCCAGGATTATTATAATGGAAGGGGAAATAGGGAGCTGGCCAGAGACATTGAGGAAGTGGAAATTCCGTGTTTTACTGATCAATCTGTTGTAAGGAAGTAGGAGAAAGATGAGGCAAGGATGCTCTGAGACTTTGGTTTGGTAGTTGGATAGATAAAAATGCCATTCGTTAACACTGAGCAAACACTCTTAGCAAAGAGACATTCTTAGGGAGAATTCAGACAAAGCAGAGGTACTCATGGAGAGACTTACAGGAGGAAATTAAAGAGCAAGAAAGAGGCCCGACCTAGAGTCACACTTTTAAGACCCACAGAGCCATAAAAGATGAGGCCAGCACCAGGCGCAAGCACACAGAGTGAAAGATAAGATGACGGTGATCCCTCCACCCCAGGAACACAGCATCAACTGGAAAAGAGAAAGGAGGAACTAGGAAGAATCTAGACAGAGGCAGTCAAAGGATGGGAGAAACCTAGGAGAGGTGTAGCCCAAAAAAGCGGAAGCTACAAAAAACTAGGGGAAGCCAGAGGTGGCTGCTCGTCCCACATCAGGGCTGCTGCCAGTTAAGGGAGCTCTAGGGAATTTAAGACAGTGGTGACTAGAGAGTAAAGAAAACAAGCTGGGCTTGCAGGAGACAAAAAGGTGGAGCATAGAGACAGCAGCTCCAAATCTAGAGATGGATAACCCACAGGGAAGCAAACTGAGAGCCACTTTAACTTAACTGCCAAAGATTTAGGTATCATAAAGGATATGTCATAAATCTCCATGTCTCTGGCTTGTTATCAAGAGGTTTTCCATGTGACTTCAGCTCCTAAGGCTCCTGCTGTGGTACAGCTTGCTTTTAGACCCTTCTGTATGTAAACAGTTACGTAAGATGCTCCCACCTGATACCCAATTCCTTTTATGACCATGGCCTATGGAACCAGTGGAAGACGCGATGAAAGGATACAGTGACATAGTACAATGGGAGGCTGGGACCAGTGGAAGATGCTGTGAACGGATGCAGTCACATAGTACAATGGGAGGTTGGGATTTGGGTGATTTGAGTGTGGATGAACACCTACTTTGGGACTGTCAGAAGAAAACACTGAACAGGTCAGTCACAGACCCCACATCCAGCAGACACTCCTGTGAAAGTCTGGGAGAAGGCTCAGGGAGGAAAGCAGAAGAGGTTAGTGTAGAGGACACTGGAGGAAAAGGACTTTTTCAGGAGAGGGCATTGGATGATACATAGGAAATGAGCTTAAGTGTCTTCATTTGAGACGAGACTGTAACCAGGACTTCAAAAAGTCATTTTAATTAAAATGAGGCCAAGTCAGGCTTAGGAGGTAAGCATCCTAATGGGCCCTTTGCTCTTCATATTCAGCATATATCGGACGGGCATAATCAACGATCTATTATTTATGATTTCCTGAGTGCGTGTTTATGTGTACACCGACGCATGGTGTCTTTATATGGCAATGGTCTCATGGACAAAAATTAGGGTCATTCACCCCACAGACATTTCAATAAAAGATAAGCTAAATGCCTGTGGTCTATTGCATCATGTTGACTTAGGTTTATGTAAATACAGTCTACAGTGTTATTATAAGATAATTACCTAATAATGAATTTCTCAGAACACATTCTGCCATTAACCAATGCATGTTTATTTAATATGTATTTTATGCCACATTAGGAACATCACAAAATGCATGCATACTACCATATAAATTGTATCTATCAATATTTTAAAACTTGTAAGATAAATAAATGAGGTTTGATTTACTTTTCTCTCAGTGGAGAGCTTATCTTTAATAAAGAAAATTATTTGGGAAGTGACTTTGACAGTCCAAGGAGGATTGTGAGCACCTGAGGTTGCAGGGCCAGGGGTGGGCGTGAGAGCTGCTGTCCCAGGCATTTCTTGCAGCACTGCTTGTCATGTAACTGAGTCTTATTCTCCCCACTCCCACACCCTGCAGTGGAATGGAGCATGTCTAAAGACTTTTCCCCTTTGGCTGGGGAGATCATCATGGACAACCTACAGACCCTGCGGTGCACAATCACAGGCCTCACCACGGTAAGCGTCCTCCAGATAGATTTGCCATCCCCTGCCTTTTGCACAGGGATGCTGATAGCAGAGGCCAACTCTGGAAGCGACAGCCAACACCCAGTCCTCTGGCAACAACTGCCATTCGTTAAGTGTGATGTGTCTGGTATCCATAATCTGAGGCTCACAGAGGGCTAAGCAGACAGCATGAACCACTTTGTAAGCTGCCATGTTCTAAGAGATCAGAAAGAGACTGGCCTCATGTGAGCCTTGAAAGCCGCTGCCTTCTGGACCACAGTCTAATCTGCAGGGGATCAAAGGCTCTGAGGGATCCAATTTTGACTCCCTGTCTGATGGTAAAAATAACAGCCTCATCTAGCCCTCACCCCCACCGCATCATTGAGATCAGTCATCAATTGGAGTCACACAATTTCCTGAGAGAAATCCTTTCCCCCTGATTAAAAAGGGAAAAAAACCTGCCTAAATCTGCTACTACAGGAAAGAAACTATATATGGCAAAGGTACAATCTCTATGTAATGTAAACTAACTTTAACTGTGAATGAAAATCTGAAACTAGCCATGTTTATTTGTTTAGCCAATCTAAACTCAAATATTAATTGTTTTTGTTGAACCACAAATGATTATCCAAGATGCCAAAAATAAGAACACCTAGCAAATCTGCTCAGTCTGAGGAAACTGAATTTCCTCAGACAATAAAAATTCAGAAGATAAAAAATATCATTTTAAATCAAGATCTTTTAAGAGGAACCTTAAACGTTTGAAGTACAATTCAAATAATTAGCACCTTAAGAGTTTCAAATGGGAGGAGCAGAGAGTATTTCTGTTGTTTTCTTAGGGGTTAGCCAATTAAAACAGTTATCTGTAGCATATAATCCTGAAACCCAGGATTAAAAAGCTGCCATCAACCGACGACATCCAGTTTATTCTAAGAGAATTCTTGGTGGTTTGGTCACCACCAAGAATCCTGACTTTTAGTCCTAATCGCATGTCTACACCAGAGAGCAGAACTGTGGATTACCAGAGCAAACAAAGCCCCTGAGTGGGTGGGCCCGGAGATGCTATCAACAGAAGGCTGGCTCCAACACCCTGGCTCGCATGGTGGAAGGGGGCCAGGAGGAACCCCAGGGAATTTCCATTGCTTAAAAGAAAGAGTGATACCGTGATAAAAATGGAAAAGTCTCCACAGAGAGGCCCTCTGACATCTAAACTAGCTTCTCTGGGATGAGGTTTTTTCCACTTCACCATCCAATAAGAGTGATGCAGACATTACCCTGAGCATATAAACGCCTGGAAGTGAATTTATAGAACGAGGCCATCTATATAACCCGGAGGTGCATAAAACCCAATTTTCAATGTTAGAGAAAAAGGTGTTAACCTCATCATATGGTAAGGCAATATCATTGAAATCCTTGCAAAATCTCCACAAAGATTTTTTAATGCAAATGCCATTTTCCATTTATAGCAAGCAATCATTCACCCAATATTGGCTTTTCTAACACCCCTTTGGTTTCACTGGAAAAAAAGAAAGAAAAGAAACCTCAAAGCAAACATTAAGACCATATAAAACATTTTAAAGGGTTATCAGTAAGCAAAACTCAACTCCTTAATTCTTATTGCCATAAAAAGATGTTAAGAATATAGGCCATTCTTTCAATAGTGGCTTTAAAATCGAGTCACATCAAAAAGTTGATTTGTTTTTAATGCTTGAACCGTTGAGTAAACGATATTCATAGAAGCATTATTTAAATGGAAAGGCTCCCGGAATCCACCAGCAAGGGACTGGCTGAATAAACGCATGCATCTGATCATAGTGAAGTACTATGTAGGCACGAAAAGAATGAGGCCTGCTTCATGTGCTAGTCTGCACGGATATTCATTGTAGCCTGCTAGTTTTCTAAAGTAACTGACCAGCTAAGGAGATCGGCGGCTGTTGCCTCTGAGGAGGGGAAAATAAGTAGAAAATGGTGAGAGTGGAAGGTTGCTGTTGTTGGTAAACCTTGTAGAACCTTGTGGGTTGCAAGACTGTGTGCTTTTGTGGTGTGTATATGTATATGTATTGCTTGGGCTTCTGTTTTTGTTTTGTTTTCTATTTTTACTTATTCTATTTTTTATTTTGGCTTGTTTGCCTAATGATTTTCTAAAGGGAGAAAAAGAAGGAGTAAGTTGGGTAAGTGGCAAAGTAGGGGTGATCTGGGAGGAAGTACAGGAGGGGAAACTGTGATCAGAATAAATTACATGAGAAAAATTGATTTCATACATACAAATATACATATATATGTATTACAAAATTGATTTATACATACACATATAAAATACATATGCATATATGCATGTATATTTATATGTATAAAATCAATTTTGAATGTATATGGTATATAAGAGATAGATAGATAGATAGATAGATAGATAGATAGATAGATAGATAGATAGATAGATAGATGTGGCATATGATTAGGGGCACGGGGAATAAGGAAAAAAACTATGATGTTCCAATTCTGAAATCAAGAAAGGAAGAGAATCCTTCAAAGTGTGAACATGATGAATTATAATGCCTGATGCAGTTTCCTATTTCAATTCTTTGCAGGGTCAACAGTATTTTGTTCAAGTCTCAGCTTACAACATGAAAGGATGGGGACCAGCTCAGACCACAACGCCGGCGTGTGCCTCTCCCTCTAGTAGGTGGTAGCTACTTCCAGGATGGCAACATGCTCACCTACTCCATCCCTAAGGTGTCCCTGCCAGCTTGCCTCTCCTACACCAGCTTCTCACCGAAGCAGCTGGCCATAGAGGAATGATCCCTCTCAAGAAATGCTCACAGGAAGGCAGCTCAGGGGAGAGGAAAAGGCATTTGAAACCACAAGTTTCCTGACATTGGTGTCTTTCATTAGTTGTAGCCTTCAAAGGTTACTGAAACTCTCAGCCTCAATTCAACATCTATAGAATGGGTCTAAATCACAACATGTCATAGGGCTTTTCGGGGACGGAGAGGACACCATGAGAGTGGCTAGCCCAGAGTGTACAGTCTATCTAGTCCTTGTCTTCCCTTCCTTGCCTATGTGGACACATCACACTGATCTCCTATGAGAATGAAATCAAACACCTTGACTTATCTGACATTCTGCCAAGAGAAAAACATTTTTATTGACAGTCACCACCCAACAAATGCAATACCTAACTTTGTATTGGTGGCCGAGAAACCTAACAAGACTTCTTCCAATCATATGAAGATTAATAATGTATGCCTGGTATGTTTGGCACAACTTCCAGTTAACCAGAAAATTTAATTAACCAGAACAAACAACTCCAGACATAGGAGAGAGTGAGCTGTTCTTTACAATGAGCCCAGTGCTCTGAATTCTATTTTCATCTTTTTAAAAAGTCATTAATGTTATAGTTAAGAGTACTTGTGCTCCTTGTGAGAGTGAGAGATGCCTAATCATTTACGGAACACAACTTGTATCTTATTCAAACACCTTAAGAACAGCCTTTTCCTTTGCCTCAATCTGCATCTTGGGAGCTAGTTTAAGGACACAGAGATGCAGATAAACAAGTATGCACAAAATCTGCACTACAGCAGTATATTAATACCTAAATATTATGTGTAGCAAGGAAAACAAATACCCAATATTTGTGTAATGGTGATGTTATATCTATCATCCATATTAAAGAACCAAACACTAAATTGCTAAAAATGTGTGCTTAAAAACCAATTGTGGCCGGGCGGTGGTGGCGCACGCCTTTAATCCCAGCACTCGGGAGGCAGAGGCAGGCGGATCTCTGTGAGTTCGAGGCTGGGCTGGACCGATAGCCTCCAAAACAATACAGAGAAACCCTGTCTCGTAAAAACCAAAAAAAAAAAAAAAAAAAAAAAAAAACAATTGTGGAGCTGGGCATTTGGTGGAGCACGCCTTTAATCCCAGCACTTGGGAGGCAGAGGCAGGCGGATCTCTGTGAGTTCGAAGCCAGCCTGGTCTACAGAGCGAGTTCCAGGACAGCCTTCAAAACAATACAAAGAAACCCTGTCTCGAAAAACAAAAACAAACAAAAATAAGCATTGTGTAGGAATATACAAAAAAATCTTACTGTATAGATTTTTGTGAAATAATAATAATAGTAATAATAATGATAATAATAATAAATATAAGGACTCCATTCATTTAACCATTAATTTACCTATAATTAACTAGGATGTGCCTAGATCACTCTCAAAATTTAACAATGGGCTGGAGAGGTGTTTGACTTGGTAAAGTGCTTACCACACAAGAAAGAGGACCAGATTCTGATCCCCAAAACCCACATTAAAAAGCCAGGTGCGTTAGCACACACTTTTATTCCCAGTGCTGGGGTTGAGGCAGAAACGGAAGGAGCCTCGGGCTGTCTAGCAAACTCCAGGCTCAGTGAGAGACTCTATCTCTAAAACCAATATGGGTAGCAACTAAGGAAGACAACCAAGTTTTATCTCTGGTCTCCACATACACACATACATACATGCACGCATGCATGCATGCGCAAGCGCGCACACACACAGAGGTACACACACATTTAACCTGGATACCTAGGTTGTGAGTTTATGTGCTTTCTGATTTATGTGTTTGTATTTTTCAAATGTTATAACAACCTCTTACCCCAAACCAACTGTGAATCAGGTGACAAATTGGGGATTTATATACAGTATCTCTCCTTACCCTCACAGTAGCCTTTCATCTTCCTACCTCCTTGTGATGAGCATCACTGTCATTATCATCTGTGGCATTATGACAATCAGAGAACCTTTATAAGACTCATTCCATTCGGGGCATCAACCTAAGAACACAGTACGCTTGGTCTCTTTGACTGATGGGGGAGCTATTTACACAGAGGCACGTTGAGAATCCAACCTCTGAACTAGAATTCAGGAGGAAGCTTTTTGGAGGTAGCATCACGGGAACACAGCTGAACCATGATTCAAACCTGAATTACTCAAGACCCTTTCGTGTCTCCTGTAGTAACTAGAGCCCTATTATCAGGTAGAGAAGTAGGCTGAAGGCCAGTCAGCCATGCCTACCACCTCCAGTAGAATCAGGTGGTTATGCGGGATCTAACACAGTCTCCAACCACCAGTGCCAGTGCTCTCCATAGCCCCTGACTCCCTCTGCATTTGATGATTTCATCATCAGTTTTCTTTGAGTATTTCCATTGCTGAAGATTTGTCAGAAACTAACACTGGGAATTGCAAGATTAAAACACTAAGAGATCAACCCTATTGCCAAAGTAGGGAGATGTGTATTTTTAGAGATAGAGCATTAGGAAGCACAAAAAAAAAAGATTAGTCTAGGTTAACCTAGAAGCACAGGAGGGAAACTGATGCCAAAGGCATACCCCACAAAATTCTGATCTGCATATGATGCATGAACCTCTAAAGCCCAGATGTTTGGGCACTATAGAGCTGCACATTCTATCCCATGCTCCTCTCTAATAAGCTCACGCATAGACCTTTCTCCAGAATGGCAAGTATGGTTGTTCAGGGCTTAGAGGAGTCTTTTATTTATTTGTAATTAGCACAGTGAACAGCAATACTTTTCTAAAACAGTGTGTTTGATTAGCAAGTGTAGCTGGCAAGGAGTCTAGAGCCTAGCATATGGTTAGAGTTGCTGCAGACATGCCATATCACTTGGAAGGAACAATATAAAAACACTCTCATTCTATTTATAAACAGAGTATGACATTGTGATGTAACATGTATCAGTATTCAGATGTTTACTAGAGGACAATGTACTCTAACATGACAGAGTAATTGGAAATTTGGTAATATGTTCCAGTGAGCTATAAAACTTTTTTTTATATTTTTACAAAAGGCCTTAATGTGTTTTTATAGACTTATGTTATATGGTATAGTACATAATAAGAGAAAAGCACCCAGACAGGCTTGTCTGAGTTACGATCAGGAAAGCCCTGATATGGCCAGTGAATGTAAGCCCTGCATTGTGTTGCAATTGAAGTGTCTCGTTACCAGAACAGTGAGCTGTATTATGTGGCACAATCCGCTCTTTTCCTACCATAAGAAGTTTACTCCTGTCAGGTTCCTGATTTCTTAATATATTTTCAATTTTCTCCCTCATCCCTGCAGTCTCCTATTTTATGTAGTCATCAGAACTTTCCAAACATCTATGAGAAACACTCATTCTTTCCAAAATGTTGGCATTGTTCAGCGCTCACTTGGGCTGCAACTGAGCATTAGCAACTTTTGTATGTATCGTAAAGTCATCAGATCCAGCTCAACTCCAGTGTAATAGGGCTAAGCTGAAAAGCTGAGACCCATTCCACCCCCTGCCCGTACTGATGACAGCATTAGGACTCATTAGAACGCATTAGCATGTTCAGGTCCATGTACTAACTCAGCCACCCAGGAGTATTACTGAAGCATGGATGCCTGCTCATCCTCCTTGCACCACAGGCACTTGAGAGGGTTCCCTCCAACTAAAGGAACAATGACCCGTGTGATATGTATTCCGTGTCGAGATGTGAGCAGTGCTATAAATAGCCTAAAGGCCACGGGCAGTAATTTCCCTAAACTTCAAATGTCCCAGCCTTCCTGAACACCATCCGATTTGTATTCCCAATGGCTCACCAATGACATGCTGAGCATTTCCTGTGTGCCCAGACTGCTAGTTCGCTCATACTCTTTATTTTCAACCTCATCCTCCCAAAGAGATTCAAAGCTGACGTTGCAGAGGAGACAAATGAGGCTAAGAGAAGTTCAGTCGTAGCTCTTGCCCACAAGGAACAGAAGGCACCTGTGCCAATCTTCTGTCTCCAGAGTTGACCACAACTAAGCCCCAACAGACAAACTCTAAGTCAGATCTAACTCTCTTGCCCAAAAGAAAAAATAAATATATGCAATATAATGAAATGAGCATGAACACTCCATAAAAGGTCACTAGGATGCCATGTCACAGTGTTGGCTGGGCCTTTGAGCTGAGTGAGGCAGATTTGGAATGGGGAAGGGATGTCTCCATAAAATGAACTTCACGTAGAAGAGAATGGGAAGGAAGAGAGGCTTGAAAAATCTATGAGGCCCCTTCTTCCTAGATAATCATCAGATGGGATAAAAAAAATAGTGTTTCCACACTGAGTGGCCTTCGAGTCTTATTTACAGAATGCCTGTCATGGGACAGGCATTGGGCCAGATCCCTAATATACTTCTCATTTCATCCCCATAAACCTCTCACAAGACAGACACCATCCTCATTTTTCAAATGAGGGAGTGAAGGGCCTGTTGATACAAAGGGCTTTCCTGCTGCGAACTGGGAATAGGAGGAGCCAGTGCTCACCCTGGAGTTTACTGGACCCCATGACCTATACTTTACATTTACCCCACCTGATCTAACTTGTCCCCTCTCTGGGCTTAGCTGACTTCCAGGAATGTTCCTCCTGAATGTATACAGCCCTGGAGTTTGGGTGGACCACTGGGAGATGCTTGGGGCTCCACCTGAAAGTACGTGTGTATCTGGATGAATAAGACCCTGTACTTTAAAGCAGCTCTGTCAGGAAGGGGATCTGAGACTGACAGGCTTCTCTGAGGTGGAGTGACCAGCATTCACAGAGATGTACTTGAAGATGTTGTTTTTGAAACGCTCACAAAGAAAAACCAGAGCAGGGAGACTAGAAGCGGGGATGGACAACGAAAAGACTGACCTGCTGGGGGAAAAATCTCGAGCTGGAGACAGCAGGATTGCAATCTTGACATTAGTCCCATATGAGTTATTACTCTTGATATCATTATAGCCAAATGGAATGAAAATAGAAGGGGGGAAATCTCAGTGGGGACTGCAATTGAAATGTGCCATGTAAGCTAATACTGTATATTTAGAGACTGAGCAGACAGGGTGGTTGGTGGCTCAGAGTATGTGCAGGGGCTGCTGTGCCAGCTAACCAAAGCAGACATTCATTAGAGCAAAATGTAGATTTCCATTTCTTGGCATCTGTCATGGGCTCTTTCCTTGGAAAGAAATGTCAATTTGGCCAAAAGTGTGAAACCTACAATAAAAGCATTGGGACTGTGGGTTTCATCTAGTCTGCACATTCCCCTCGGCTTTCCTACTGTGAAAATCCAGTTGAAACTTGGGGTGCTGAGTGAAGAAGTAACAGGGGCACTGATCAGGACACACAGGGGAGGAGATAGTGGACTTCCAAATTGCCTATTTCTTTTGGCTCCCAAGTGCCATTTTTCTCTTGCCCCAAAACTGCCCAACACAAGGAGCCAACCACAATTACTGTTTTTGCATAGGGCTCTGAACAATGGCAGCTCCCAAACCGTCGGCATCGCCTGCCAGTTCTGCGTGTGTTGGGTGCTCATCCATGGAGCCTGTGGGCAGTGAACACAAAACCCCTGCCCCTCAGGCAAGGCTGGGCAGCGGCTGCCTCTGCCTTCAAAGTTCCCCCTGTTTGTTTCTTTTGTTCAATAGACTGGAAAGACTATGACGACAGAGAGCCCAGACACAAGGGACAGAGTGAAGTTCTGGAGAGCCTGCTGCAGCAGGTCCGAGCCCTTCATCAGCACTACAGCTGCCGGGGTAAGGATAAAATCTGTGCTGGGCCATCGACTGAGGTCTCGGTGGCGCCGGTAATTTTAGCAGTTTCCTAGCTGGGTCATACCTTCTCATTCATCAGGGAAAAAGAGATATTAATATTTGTACATCTGGAATCACTTTACAGCACTATCTTGCTTTAACCCTTCCACGGAGCCTTCCCTCTCTTTCCTCCCCTTCCTTTCTCCTTCTCTCCACACAAAAAGTCTGAAAATCAGCACAAGAAAAAACGCCCTCAGCTACTGTTCTCTGAATTGGCCCTTAACAAGCCTCATCTGTGGCCCTCTGAAACACTCTTCCTCAATATTTCACACACCCCCACCCCGAGCATCACGGAGGGAGCTCCAACAATGACAACCATAACAAGCCTTCACTTCTGTTGATAAAATAACTTACAATGCATTTTCACGCCCACCATGCCAACTTCATCCTCACTCTGCCCACATTGCAAGGGAAGCTAAGTTGATTTGCCCAAGATCATCACACCAAACCATGGCCTGTGATTTGTGGTGCCATGTCTCCAGTCTGCCTGCTGTGCCTTGCTTTTTTGTCTCCCTGAACTTTAATCCCACCTTGAACTTTAGTCTTCATCCATCCCACTGTTTGGGCAGGAGTAGAGCTCACCTCCTCACAATTTTAGCCCCACTTCACCCAGAGACTCTGAGATGCTTTAAAAGCCTCTCTGTTGCTTGGGCTGCTCAGATGGGCCAGGGTCAGGTTTCTGATCTGTGTAATGATTCGTGGAAGAGGCACTTAGTTTTATTTGGAGAATTAAAGCCTCCATAAAGTTTTCATTTTCCATGCTCCCATCAGATCTCCAACTACTCTGTGCTTGCTAGATTCGGGGCACTGCTGAGCCAGCTGGGTAAAAAATCCATGGCTCAAACTAAGATGCTGTTCTTGCTGTTTAGACGAGGCATAAATCATACTTAGCATTAGCAAAAAGTTTCCCAATTACTGTATAGCTCTGACAACAGGGTCCTTCAGAAACGTTGGCTCTAGCTGGAGATGAGGACAAGTGTTTGCAAGAAAATGGTGTTTTTCTAATGAGTGGCTCATTAGGAGATGTAAATATGTACAAGAGCAGCTGGAGAAGGAAACCTAAGTGGAGTTTTCATTCCTGGATCTTTAGGAAGACGACAACCCTGCCCCCCCCAAAAGAGGCCTGCATCACTCTATACTGACCAAAGTCCACTCAGTTCTGGGTTCCTGGGGCTCATCTCATGAAGGGCGGTGTTTCCTGGGTTCCTCTCTTTTCTGCCTTTCCATTGCCCCCTGCCCACCAGCTCCTGTATGAAAGTCAAGGCGATCTAGCGATTAGACAGGTGTTCCTTGCACTTTTCTGTTTGGTATTCTGAGGACAGAAGCCGGAGTTATTATTTGTATATAACTGAGGATTCAGATTCACCCCTTATTACTATGTGATTACTATCCAGTAACCAAGAAATGATTTCCTGGATAGCTCAATTATTTCTACAGCTTCTGCTCGACTCTTGACATGCATGCACGTTCACCTTCCCAAACCATATTAGGAATGAACGCAACTCAGGAATAAAGTACATCTTCCCCCAAAAGGGACACTTTCAAATTTGTTAAAGTGTATCCTGGGTACTCAAAGAATGCAGTGTGAGAGATGTAGCAGTCCCGTGAGAGGCTCAGGTCATGTAAGGTTAGGAGACACCGAATTCTTCATCCCTCTGGTGGAAATGTAAAATAGACACCAGAATATCAAAGACTGTAGAGAAGGACCTAGCAAACATGGTCAAACAAGCATTTTCCAGACTCTTCAGCCTTTTGAAACATTTGCCATAGACTTGGGATTCTGGGGCATAAATTTGGGAAAGGCTGACCTATGACCCATCAAGATTAAATAAATTAGCTCACAGAAAACCAGCAACATTTCTAAGACACTTCAATGTAACTCTTAAGTTTCAAAGGATATCAAGGCTGTGTAAAGATTGCTTACAGAGAACTATGAAGCTGTTGTTTGGAATATCTACTACATTGAGATACTGTGGTTTATTGGGGGACATAAACCTTTATAAACTTTGAAATTTGAAAAAAAACCATAATTGCCCCAAGGCCTAGTTCTACCACTTTGAGATTTGGGGTCAGCATTTAACCTAGCCCGGATCACTGCTTCTTCGTCAGAAAATCAGACTGTCTAACTCGCAGTGTTGTTACAAGGAGGAAACAAGGCAATAGACTCAATTCACCCAGCGCATTGGAAGTCCCTCACACACTCTAGCTTCTTTTCCTTCGATGTTCTTGTGTCTGGAGAATGGTGTCGCTCTCTGTCCACAGTGACTGACTGGCACATCCTAACGTGGTGACTCCACTGTGCTGAACTGGGATCCTCACCAATGCACAGCAATCTCTGGTACAGAAGCAATCATCTCTACTCCTCCCCAAACCCTATTCAACCAGTACCAGAGCCTTCCGAGTCCTTTCCACATGAAGTGTATGTCCTTAATGGCCAGACTTTATTTTTCTCTCATTATTTCTTTCTTCCACCACACCCGCTTTGCCTCTCTTCTCTCCTACTACAAGTCTTGCTGGTTAGTGGTTAAAATCTCCTCAACTAGCTTTTGTGATTTCTTTCTCCACCCTTGTTTTTGTTTGTTTTTTTTTTTAAGTAAGGTCTCAGCATAAAAGCCTGGTTGACTTGGAACTCACTATGCAGATCAGGCTGGCCTTAAACTCACAGCCATTCTTCTGCCTCTACCTTTAGTGCCGGGATATCAGCTGTGTGCCACCAGGCCGAACCAAATTCCTTTCATTTGTTTGTTTGGTTTTGGGTTTTTGTTTTGTTTTGTTTTGTTTTTTGGAGACAGGGTTTCTTTGTGGCTTTGGAGGCTGTCCTGGAACTAGCTCATGTAGACCAGGCTGGCCTCAAACTCACAAAGATCCGAGTGCTGGGATTAAAGGTGTGCGTTACCAACCCCTCTAGTTTCCATCCTGACATCCTTTTGCTCCAGTTTCTCAAAAAAAATATTATTCTCATTTCTTAAGACTTCTATTGGATTTTGAAGTTTCTGATAACAGTCTTAATTCCCAATTCTCTTTTGAGAAATAAGTAATCCCTTTCCTTATACTGATTCAGCATCTTGTCCCTCAGAATGTTAAGGACAAGCTCTGTTTTGTTCCATTTTGCTCAACACAGTCCCCCACCCATCCACCCCAGAAGGGCGGCTCTTTTACCTGGTGTTGGCCTTTGTGCTTCATGGTGGGACGTCCTTTAACTGCCTGAAGAGCCTTCGGTGTTTGCTCAGATTTAAAAGAAGAGAGATCAGTAGCCCCTGGGAAGTTCTGAGCACATGAGCAAGGAACTTTCCTCACAGGTTTCACCATCAGGTGAGCGGGAACCATCCATGTCAAAAGAGTTTGTTCCTTAAATCCCATGGCTGTAGTCTCTGGTGAAATTCTCCAGAGAAATTTCTTCCAAGCTCCTGTCTCGAAAGTGAACTTTCAGTATGTGTGTTCTGAGAACGTAACAGAGAAATACCAGATGTGAAACGTTCATGCAGTCTACCAGTTTTAATATCTAGTCCCATCACCACTATTTCCTATTGTCGCTGAGGTCTCCCTGTCTCCTACTCCAAGGGCTTTGGTTTTGTGGTTGGTTTCTTTTTTTCTTTTTTGTCTGTTTGCTTTACTTTTTAGAGAATAAGCTGCTAACTTTCCTCCAGGGTGGGAAAGGGGTCTCTGTCTAGCTATGTGGGAGAGGAGGAGAAGTCTGACTTTTAAACAGATTTCAGAAACTCCCAGTTTTGGCTGTGCATGCGTCCCCTCCCCCCACTAGCAGCCATGGAGCCTGCCGGTGAACCAAGTTACTTCTCAGGGGTCCACTGGGGCGTTTAGCCTCATCTTTCTCAAGTCTGTTAAGACTGCCTGTCTGCTTTCTGCTACCAAACCTCACTCACTGATGTCTTCTGGCCCATTGACTTGCCCTTGTAAAACCGTTTCTTTCACTGCCTGTTCTATTTTAAATAAGGTTTACACAGAGTGGCAAGCAATGTCTACGCTGACTCCTAGCCTTGAACAGCAGCCCCATTCTCCAACAGCCAAACTCATGTTCAAATCAGAAACAGAAGTTATTTTGCTTTTTTCTTCCAGGAGCAACTATTGCTAGCACCAAGTCTAAGGCTGATAGAAGTGCGTAGGTCGGCCAATGACTCCTGTAGTATCACAGGCAGAGTCAAACTGGGTGAGCCTCAACCATGGACCGCCCTACAGGCTTCTCTGTCTAAAAGCACTGCTGGGGCTTCTGTTCCCATCCCTGGGAACAGGTCTGTCAAAGTTCAATGATGACACCAATAACCTCAGCTTCCCTTCACTACATACAACAGAGTAAGAGATGGCAGTGACCATCTTGCCGAGCTCCCTGAAACATTGCTTGCAAAGACTGTTTGCAGACATCTGGGGATTCTACTATAGCCATCAGGGAAAGCTCCAGGTTATAAATGGGTGAGGGAACATGGACGATATGCTCACATCCATACCTACAGAGACTCATACACAGCCGCTTTCCCAAAATGATTTTTTTCAGTCTCTTTGGGCACTGACCTTGCTATTTTGTTCAATCAATCTGTTTCTAAGTCCCTTCATCATTTATTAACAATAAAGGTCATAGGAGACCCGTCCCTACATATATGTTTTTGGTTTTGTTTTTTCCTGATTTTAATTTTAATGTTTTTACATGAAATAGAATCACAGCACTTTTCCTGTCCCTTTACTCCCTCTAGCTCCTCTCTGCCCCCCTCCTGAAATTGATAATGTCTTTGATTATTAGTTACGTACATACATGCATGTGTGTACATATGCATGTGTATGCACAAAAATACATATGAATACAACCTGCTGAATCTGCTTTGGTTTCAGTGTATACATAATTTTAAGACTGACCACTCTGCATTGGACAATCAATAAGGGAACTCATTCCTGGAAGAGACTAACTATACTTCTCCCAGCAGTCAGTAGTTTCCTGTAGGTCTTTCTCTAGGGGTGGGACCTCCCCCTTTCCATGTGAACATGTTCATTGATGTTGTCATTGTTCCTGTTTTGTTTATGTGGTCATTTCTAGGACAGCAGACTTCTGGTATTATGGCTCTTACAATCTTTCTTCCCCATCTTCTGTCATGTTCCCTGAGCACCAACTGTGATGTAGACATATCTGCTGAGGCTGGGCTCTCTACTGCCTACAGATACTCTTTTAAGTAAATATACATACTTGAAACAACTGCCCTGGGATGTTAATTGTAGTTATATGAAGTGGTGGGATGAGCTGGGTAAATTTGTTCCTTGTTTTCTAGTCTCAAGATCTTCTGTAACATGCTCATATTAACCCTAAAAGGAAAGGATTTAATTGGATGTATGGACTAACAAGGGGAACTTTGAAATATTAAAAAGCCAGGTGGTAAAGGGGGAAGAGGAAAAGGACTTGGTTCACTTTCTTTGCATCTTACTTGATAAGAAAGTACTTATTCTGAGAGAATAAACAAAAGACCTGAAGTGGTTTCCCTCGGTTATAAATACTGCTCACCTCCAACATTTGTGAAGAGCTCCTCAATGACTGAGTCAACTGCTAGGGTATTAGTTACTCTTACACAGCTTTGATAAAACACCGGGCAGAAACTACTTAAAGGAGGAAGGCTTTGTCTTATCTTACAGCTTCACACCATTGATGGGGAAGGCATGATGAAGTGCTCATATATCATGGAGGTAGGAGTGCATAACAGCAATTGTCATGCACCCTTTGGGGCACGGAAAGGTGAGATAACAAGATGAACAACACACTCCCAAGGGCCTGGCCCCAATTACAACCTACCCACACCTTCCAAAGCCTCCAAACCACCAATACCTACAAACAACTCCACTAACCGGAGACCATTCAAAACACGAGCCTATTGGGGCCATTTCCAATTCTGGCCATATCAACTGATATCTTAAATAAATACAAGTTTATCAAAGAAACAATAACCTGGGCCCCTGTATGAAACTGGTAAGTGACAGGAAGGCCGGGAGGGAGGAAGGGAAAGCAGAAATGTTGATGTGTCAGATGGAATTTGCACTGAATCTTCTTTCTACATTCCAGAAAGTTCAAAATTGCAAACCACGGGCCGCAAGCAGTCAGTTTCAAGGAGCCTGAGACACCTATTCCATTCCTCAAACAAGTTTGTGAAAACCTTAAAACGGTGGGTCCTTCTAGGATGTTAGCACTTCTTCTAGGAAGTCTTACGTCTCAGCAGTGAACTAACTAGGGTTCTAAGTGGAAACCAAGCAGAATTATGTATTTTTATTAAAAGAATGAATTCTCCTGAGAATTTGGGCAAGATACCGATTTCTGAGTTTTAGCAAGTAAATTTATGATACATAGCAAAAATATGTTCCTACGTATATTTTCAATTCAGCTTGCAAAATGTCTAAAACTAATTATACATACACATATGTTAATTATGCACACATATATGTATATGCAATTATATATGTATATATATAATTTTATGACTTGTTTGGTAAAACAAAGAGTTGAAGACTTGCTTTTTTCTTTCTCTTTTTCTTTGTAGAGGACTCTACATAGCTGTTATATTTTATTATAAAGACAATATGTTAGTCACCAATGAAGATCAAATACCCATTGTTGAAATAGATGACTCTCACACCAGTTCTATTACACAAGATTTTCTGTGGTTCATGAAGGTACACTGAGTTCTCATTTCATTTTTCCCTATTTTGCACCAGGGCTGCCGCACATAAATCTCTGAAACTTTAGTTGAGGGGTCTCTCAGGATCAAAGTTTTGGGGTGGAAGTAAATTATCTCAAAGATCCCTTATGGCCCCAGTATGCCCTCTGCCATTTTTTAAAAGGCTGAAGTAGTGTCTCCACTACATTTTCAAAGCAAAGAAGTGTGCATCCTGTCAGATTGTGTCTCCACTCTTCAGAGTTATGGGATCATTTGGCAAAGACTAAAATGTAGATCTGACTGTTTCATTAGCATTCAGATCTTTTTCCAATTGGACAGAGATCAAAAAGTGGTTTCGTGTATATCTGAAAATGGACTGGAGAACAAATATCAGGGGGGTCAGGTTTCCTTCTCCTGCCTTGCTTTGATGCCACAACCTAAATCATTCACTGGCTTGGACGATGATGTGACCTCATGACTTCTCTTGCAGCTGTCCTGTATGTGGGAAGACATAAGGTGGCTAAGGCAAAGTGTGCCCATCTCCATGTCCTCATCCACAGTGCTGCAGACTCGGCAGAAGATGCTTGCTGCAACCGCCCAGCTACAGGTGAGGGACCAGGCTTGAGCTCAGCCCCGCAAGGAAAGTGTCTTCAAACTTGAAGAGCTCAGTCACCAATCCTACCTGCAAAGGAGAAGGGTGGGAGGAGAAGGCTCCCTCCCCTTTCTGATCTCTGGCCACGGGAAGGCTTCTTGGACAATTTGACTACGTGCCTACTCAATTCTGCCTTTGGTATGGAATCCTGAACAAAGAGTGAGGAGATTGGAGTTCTCCATCTGATACTAACCAGTTGGCTCGGCTCAAGGGCTCATGGTCATCGCCTGTGGGAGCTTGACTGGATGAAGGGAGCAAAGAGCAGCAGGGGGTTAGAGCAGTTTTCTGGTGGCTTCTAAAAAGCCTATGCATGTATATGAAGCTGGGGTCCCAAGAAGAACCTGGAGCCTCTGCTGGAGACCTGTGTCTACTTACAAAGCTGTCTCTTACAATCTCTAGAAATTTGCATAGTGGGAGAGTAAGCTGTATTTGGCCAGCAGGCCCACAGCAAACATTGTCTTTAAAAGTTCATAAAAATACTCTAGCTCCACCCCTACCTACAATTACAAGAATTTCTCTTTTTGAACCCATCCAGTAACAACTCAATCCTGTAACCGCATAACAGTTGCCATGTTGCTAGGGAAGGTTACATTTGCCCCTCTGTGTTAGGGTACACTGCATAGACCGTTAAGTGTCTTGTGTCCTCAGTGGCTTCAGATTTTAGTAGTGTCCATGTTTTAGTAGTGTCCATGACAATTCATTCTTCATTGAGATTCACCTCCTACACCCCAAAGAGAAGTGTTTGGAGCTGGGTCATGATGTCTGAGCTAAATCCAGAGCACATCCTTCCATCACTAACCCACACGCTTGGCTGGACTATGGCACCATCTTCCATGCTGTTTTTTCTTTAAGAGAAAGAAGTCCCAAAAGGTTCCACCCCTCCACTAGCCCACCACTAGTTGGGATATGCCTGGCCACAGACTGACACCCCCTTAGAAATTCAAGCAAAACTCTTGGTTGTGTGTTTACTGGAGTCTCCCTTGACACCTCTGTGTGTTATCTATCAGCAACCCGAGGACAGGCTGTTGCTAGCCATACAGGCAGACACTGAGGGATACCTCGATGGCCAGTGTGACCCTGCCTAGCCCTCACCACCACACTCTTGGATTTCCTCACTTTCCAGGCCAAACTTTCTGATCCCGCCATTTTTTGAGACTATTTCCCCCTTTATCAAGCTGAGATTCCATGATACATCACAATCAGTCCCTGAAAATATTCTAGATTTTTCTCTTGAAAAAAAATAAGCCTAGATCAATTCAATATGTCTACACTAAAGTTGTTTCACCATGATTTATGAAAGGAAACAAACCATATGCATGAAAGGAACTGACAGTTTTCCTACTCCACGCATAGCCGCAATCCTCAATTAGGATTCTGTTTAGTGACCCTGCTACATTTCTGTAGTAACTGCCTTCTCACGCTATAAAACCACTCTTTAAAATCCTTCTGCATTCTCCCACAGTCTTCCCATTCCCCAGACTCTCCATCCTGACTACAGTGATGATATCACCAACTCTCTAAGAGATGGGACAAGCTTTCCACTACCCAATTTCCAAAACCTGCCCAGACATTCACCTTCTTTTTTTCTCCCCTGTTCCAACAGTTTATACAGCCTCACCCTCCCAACTAAAGGCTTGCTCCTCCACAGATGGCATGACCTGAATCTCATCCCTTCTCTCTTCATTTAAAATGCTCATCTCAGTCTGGAGAGGTGCCACAGCAATTAAGAATACTTACTGCTTTTGCAGAGGACCTGAGTTTGCTCCCCAACTACCTGTAACTCCAGCTGTGGGTGGATCCTCTGGTTTCCATGGGCATTGCATTCATTTGCATTCATGTGTACAAACCCTCACATCAACCCATGTCTACAGTGCCCTCACATACCCTCTCAGCTACAAAATAATCATTTTTCATTCCTTATACTAGCCTTCTTGAAAGAATCCCTCACATCCTCCTTATCCACCACCTTCCTCATTCCGCCACCAGTCATCAGAGCAGACAAAGCTGGGGTGTAGGGCTCCTCACCTGCATGGGACTGCAAGTTTGGGAGTCCCGGGGTGTTTTAGGGGAGGAGAGAAGGAGAAGGTGGAACTATAGTCAAAAGGCATTTCTGAGAAACTGCCTAAAGAATTTTCAGGAAGAAAAGGGGACTCAAAATTCCTGTATTGGCGGAGAATGGAAGGAAAAGTGAGAATTTTTTTTCTTTCTAAATAAACATCTACTTTTACACCTACATATGTATTCTTTAAGAGAATCCCCCAAACTGTGTAGCAGGCCTTATGAAACTTCTCTGCGTCCCTGCCACTGTCTTCAGCGTCACTAAACCCAATGGACACTTGTGAGTCATCTCGAGTGACACCTAGCAGCAGTGCTCAACACACCCAGTCCTGCTCTGCCTCTTGAAAGCTGCACATTCTTTGGCTTCCATAAAGCCATCCTCTCCTGATTTTCTCACACTTTCTGGGCTGTCTTTCTCAGTCTCTTATGCTAACTCATAGCCATTTTCTGCTTAGGATCCTCTCTTGATTCACCTCCTTGCCTTGCTTATCCTTACATACCTGTTACGTCTCAGCTTAATGTTTAAACTTCCTCAAAGAACCTTTCTCTGTACTCATAGTTAGGTCAATCTCTCCATCAGTATCTTTAGTCTTCATTCAGAACAATGATCGCCACACCATTACCTCATTGTCTTTCTTCTCCCCACTTTCAACACCTTATACAGTCTCATCCTTCTAATCAAAGGTTTGCTCCCCCTTTGAATGTTGTATCTTTTCTCCTGTCTTTATTTTAAAGCACTCATCTCAGACTGGAGAGGTGATTCAGCAATCTGCTTAGCCTATCACTGTTTATATGTCATCTTTGCAACTCTTAAAGTTGACTTTAAAACAGTCAACTCAGACAGGAGAGGTGGCCCTGGTAGCCTGCTTAGCCTCTAAGAGCCTAAGTTCAAAGACTGTTGTCTGTCCTGGCTACTTAGGAAAAATCTATCTAATCAAAGAGACCAGGAATCGCAGAAGCATCTCTCAGCCACTACATAGATATCTCCCGCAGTCTTCACCGAATCAGAGCCTCATAATTCTCAATGAATGCATGCGCTCCAGTGTGCGCAGCAGAACCTTGAGCCCTGTTCTGTGAGCTCCCCTCCACCATGCTGCTGTTTAATCACCATCATTCTTTAACCACACGGCGTGTGTTCACCTGTCTGCCTGAGGACCCATTGCTCTTTACATAATGTGCTACACAATGAAAATGTCTGAAAATACTGAAAACACCCTTTTAAAGAGGGAGGTGAGGTGAAGAAAAGCTTTTCAAGAGAAGAGATGGCAAACACCATTTTTAGTTACTTTACTAGTCTAAATTTATTTGACAGTGTTCTGAGGAAATTATAAATGACTGGCGTCAAGCATACTTAACTCCCATGGACTTGCCTTGGGCATATGGTGTGCCGCCTCCCCATCTTTCCAGCCTCTCTACCATAGCCTGATTACTCTCCACTTACGTCACAAGTTTCCTCAACCTTTGCTTCTCTTCTGCTCTGAACATTTTCCAATCCATCCTCCATGCTTCTGCCAGAGTGCTCACTCGAAAAGATGTAGGCCATGGCATTCACTTAGACTCTTTCTTTTTTAAATTTACTTACTATGCGTGCATTGGTGGTTTTGCCTGCATGTATGTGTGAGTGTGTCAGGTACTGGAGGTACAGATAGTTGTAAGCTTCCATGTGGGTGCTGGGAATTGAAGCCAGGTCCTCTGGATGAGCAATCATTGCTCGTAACCACTGAGCCATCTCTCCAGCCCCACTTAGACTCCTTTAGTGGTGGCTATTTTGCCATAGCACGTAGGGCCTTAATCACAATCTTACCCTCCATCATCTATATCCATAACACACAGTCTATTGACTTACCTTCTGTCATAAAAATACCAACTACTAGGCAATTTACCCTTTGTCCTCTTTGAGTAAGGTCCTCTTCGAGTATATAACAATACTGTGGCACCAGCTGCTCTCATTGATCTAACAGACTATATCATGTGCTTCCCAAAATTTATCTCATTCAGTCTGCACTGTGACCTAGTGACATTTTACTATTATTGATACTTATTTAACTGAAGTTAAACCTGAGGTTTAGGAATGTCAATTTATGCCCAAGGTCACACGATAGGAAGTAGCAGACTATGGATTCAAATCTGTATATGTGAAGCTTTAAAGACTGAATTCTCCTAATACCTTAATACATTATTATGTGTTAATTTACAAATTGAAGAAGTTATCCATGTTGTAATTTAAAAAAAAAGAAAGAGTGGCACCCAGCACTCGGAAGGCAGAGACAGGAAGATCTCTGAGTTCAATGCCAGCCTGGTCTACAAAGACAGTTCCTGGACAGCTAGTGCTGTTAGACAGGGAAACACTGTCAAAAAAGAAGAGGAGGAGGAAGAGGAGGAGGAGGAAAGGAAGAGAAAGAAAGTAACAAGTAGCTTAATATTTTATTTGAAAATAAAGTGAAATGTACAAAAATTAATTCATTGGTTAATTAAAATTATCTAAGCAAAAAAAATCAGCATTTGTATGAAAAAAGCTTCAAGATTAGAAGGCCTGTAAGTGAGCAAGCCCCTGTACTGTTCATTCTTTTGGGAGAACGATGAGGCCTCTTAGGAATATTCCTTCTTAGACAGCCTCCTCCTCCACACTGAGAGGAATCGAAAATACTTATCCTAGAAAGACAGTGCAGACTGTTTTCCTTTAGATGTTCCTCCTCCACACTTCTTAGAAATGAGCAAGAGCCAGTTAACAATGGGTGATGCTGTTCTTTCTTACTTTTTAAAGCAGAAAACAAAACTAAAATTCCCAAATTTTCACTTTTTCCAGTCCCTTCTGCACTTCCTTAACTTTTTGTGACATTCTGAAACTAAATAAGGTTACTCAGAATGGTGCCCCCAGGCTCCAGCTGACTGCTAGCCTAGAGGTCTTCTGGCTATCACCTGGATGTACCCCAAGCATCACATGGGTCTCCTTCCACTTTACCACATAGGATCATCAGGGGCCCAGGTCGCATAATATAACATGACAGGTATCATCGTGATCTATTTCTCCTTTAGGTTCAAAGGAGCCCCCTCCCCCAAAGCTGGCTATCCAAATCATTATCAAGGAAGAATACCAGGAGGATTTTTTTAGTGCTTTCTTATTCGACCAATTAGAAAACCTATCCAGCTGGGTATGGTAGCACACGCCTTTAATCCCAGCACTCAGGAGGCAGAGGTAGGCCTGTGAGTTCCAAGGCAGCCTAGTAGCCTGGTCTACATAGCAAGTTTTAGGCCAGCAAGGGTATGTGACTTCTTTCAAAAGAGAGACAGACAGAAACAGAGAGACAGAGAGAGAAACACAGAAAGGAAAAGAAAGGAGGAAGGAAAAGGTCTCCAAACCTGGCAGTATGCCATTATAAGTTCGCTTTATTTATAACTGTATTAAAATGGCCACTTTAGTATTATTCTTTTGTGAATTATGTGCTATGCATTAAGAAATATGTGTGGTCGTTTATCTATTACTGAGTTCCTCCTGTGACAAGGACCTAGAGACATAGAAAGGAAAGCACCGTGTCTTGCAACAGGCACTTCAGTTACATGCAGTACAGTCAGACACATACTAAGAACTTTGTACACAAAACAGAAGGAAAGAAAAGAGAGGATGGTGAATTCTCCCTGAGATCCTGCTAGTTGACTTATTCACTGCTCTGACATACCAGAACGTAACAATCCAAAGAGGGAACGATCACTCACCATTTCAGAGATCTCTGCCCAGTTTGGCTAGCCTTGCTGCTTGGCATGAAAGAGTACAATGACAGAGTTTGCCTACCTCATAATTACCAAAAGGCACAAAACCATGAGAGTCAGGGATGCACTGTACCTCTCAAAGGCATACTTTCAGTGGCCCACTTCCCCCACCAGGCCTCATTTCCTAGTTTTCATTACCTTCAATAATGCCATCACATTTATGAATCTATCAATGGACGAATTCACTGATTAGATCCAAGCCTCCCTCTTGGTGAACCTGTTGGAGGATAGTCAATATTCAAACCATAACAGAATGAGAAATGTCTTCCCAGAGAATCTGCAACTGGGCTGGATCCAGAAAATATAGTTGGAGACCAAGAGGAGATTCTAATTATGGCAGATTTGTAAAATCCTATATTCAACAGGGTAGCAGGCTCGAGGGTTTGTGAAATACATTTTCATGTGTTGCTTGATTTAATCCCCTGGTCACTCTATGAAGGAAGGATTAGCCAAAGTGACGCCTTAACTGCAAGGACCTTTAATTTAAGATGGTGAAGCTCAGGACCAGAGAAAGTAAACAGTCTGTTAATGAATTGTAGCCAGCCCTGAAACTCAGCACCTGTATGAGAAAAGTCTTAATAGTTGTGGTGTGCTAAAACCAGCTCATTAATGGCTTGGAAAACCAACTATTAAATATTCAGAAACTTTGGACGGTTATTGTCATATCCAAGGTTGCTTGGAATGGACTACACTATAGAGACTGTCACTCACTACAAACCAGCCATGCCACTCCTTGTCCTCTTGTTTGTTTTGGTTTGTCAGTTCACTGGCACAACACTGCTCATATAGTAAAGTGTCTATATAAAACTGGAGTGCTACATAGATGTAGACTAACAATCTTACCAAAGTAGGGTTTTCTATGATTAATAAGTAATTTGTTAGAAAGGAAAATCTGAATGATTATGCCACTTAATAATTAATCTTACCAAATGAATTTTTGTCAGTGATTATTTATAAAGCTCCTTACTCATTCTGTGTCTGGTCTTTGTAAGGGGGGGGGGGAATCTGAAGACACAGTCCCTATCTACAAGGGAGCACTCCAGGGTTTGAGATTTGAATACTAAGCAGCTATCTTGTTTATTTTTAGGTCAATTTGTCAGTTTTACAAACTCCAGCTCTACATCAGCTCTCACACTAGCACATTATCACATCATCATTTATGTGAGTTCACACACACACAAACACACTCACAAACACACTCATACTCACACACCAGCTAGGAACTCTGCAGTGGTTTGTGTGGGATTTGATTCCAATCATCTATCATTCTTGGCTAGAGATCTTCGCCCCCCTCGTATTTATACAGTTCCCCCTTTATTTTAATGAGCTGTGCCTCAGCTCCGTCCATCATATTTAATGCAGCGTCCTCCTCACTTTTCTAAAAGTATTGTCCGCCTCTGTGGACAGAGTGTATAAGCAATTTCAACAAGCCTTTCAGTAAGCAGAACTGCCAAAGATGCAGATAAGTCAAACCAGGCCAACCTCCTGATTAAAGAACCTTGTAGGGAATGCACAGTCATCAAGGGACCTCTGTACAATGTGCGACATTGTCAATTCACTTCTTCATTTTAAACAACCCCACCTCATACTAGCTTACTGAAGATCTCTTGAAAACTCCACAAGCAGCATACCTGAAATATCAGACATTTTTCTTTAAAACATCTGGGATTCTCAAGTGCTGGTCACTGAGGTTTACGTGCTGGTGTGTCTATGTGGGCAAGAGATGTTTACAGATATTGGATTTGCTTAAGAAAATATAACGTCTGTGCCTCTTGCTGTAATCTTTGCAGGCTCACAGTGAAGACTTTTCTTTGAGCTTTTTGTTAAGCACATTTCTGCGATGCCACCTACGATAGGTTTCATTCTAAAAAAAGAAAACACACACAGCTCCTCAGAAATTCAGCAGTTTTCAGTGTCTTTTGTTGCGGTATTGTTGTTCTGTTTTACAATACCAACTAAGCTACCAGTAATCTGTTGGTTTCTAGAATTTACTTGGAACACACAACTTGGGAAGACTTTACTATGAGCCTATTAAAGATCGCCATGGCAACATCCTCATAGTCACCATCAGAGAAGTGGAGATGCTTTATTCCTTTTTTAATGGCAAATGGATGCAGATCTCAAAACTGCAAAGCCAGAGGAAGTCCCTGTCAACTCCCGAGGAGCCAACAGCCTTAGATATTTTACTAATAACCATTCAGGTATGTAGGATTTTTTTCAATTTTCAGATATTTGTGATTCTGATACATTTATGGCAGCTCTAATACAATATACCAAAAGTTGTTCACATCAATGGCAATGCAGTAGAGTCCTGAGATGATTTGCTGTTCGGATTCCACAGGTAAGAACGATGCTGTGGGTTACTTTCATTGATTTCTACCTACATATGAAACTGATCAAGCAATCCTAAGAGTGGACACTCTGAAAATGCCCTGACAATTGTATTAGTCACTTTCACACAAGTATAATCAAAGTATCACCCAGAGAAACAACATAAGGGGAAAACATTTGTCTTGGTTCACAGTTTCAGAGTGCTACAGTCCCTCACAACAGGAAATGCATGGCACAGTGCCTCAGCCATGGTGGGAGGAGCCTGATGCAAATGCTGTTCACATTGTCACAAACCAGGAAACAGTGAGGGGCCAGAACTAGGGGCTCCTTGAGGCTACTAACCTACAAAGCCCCTCCCCATAGTAGGCTACTTCCACCAGCCAGGTCCTGCCTCCTGAAGGTCCCAGAGTTCTCCAAGACTCTACCAGTCAGAAGAACAAGCAATGAAAACACAAAACTTACGTGTTAAGAGAAGCTTTTTCCTTTGCTAGCCGCTTTGGTTTATTCCCCGCCAGCCGCCTAGGCTCTGCCTCATTGCAGTCCCCAAATAAACACACAAGACGCTGTATTAATTATGAAGCTTTTGGCCTTGCTTGTCCCTTACTGGCTAGCTCTGCCTTAAGTAATTACCCCATAATTGTTAATCTAAGTATGTTTCTTACCGGAGAATAGTTCCCGGCTTCTTACCCCTATGGCGTCACATGTCGACTCTCTTGTCTTTCTCCTTCCCAGAGTTCTCCTGGACTCCTAGTCCCTCCTATCTAGGTTTCCTATAGGCTCAACAGTACTTTATTAGCATAAGACTTCCCCAACATCTCCTCTTTTCTGTTTAAACAAAAAGAAAGGTCTTAACTTTAACATAGTCAAATTGTATATGACAGAACAGTTATCAAGTAAGAACATAGTTACAATATTTTACCAAGATTTAAAGAAAATATCATCCATCCCATCCTTGTGAGTCCCAAGTTCTATGTAGCTTATCTTTTATCATAACTAAGGAAAACTGTAATTATAACTATCTGTCTTCAACTCCATCAAAGACCACAGAAGGATAATATATAAACACTAGGATTGACAGAGACATCTTGCTATCTGGACAGTCACCCAAAGTTCCTCTGTAACGTTGGGGCATCCATCTTCAGCCCATAGGCCACACTGTGTCTGGAAGACTTCTCAGCAAAGCAGGAAATTTCAAACTGTCCATCTGCATTGGCAGTCTGTCAGTCATTTTTCTGTGTCCTGCAGAAAGTCTGGTAGACTCTTCATGAAGCAGGAACCCTGTAAGACTGAGTTCAGCAGTCACTTTCCTGTGGGACCTGCATGTTCAGTTTGTACAGCAACAGTCAAACAGTCTAGGCAAGAGCAGTTTCTTGCCCAAATGGCTAATCCTGCCATGTTTGAAAGCAAACTTTATAACGAGTTTCTTCGATGCCCATCTTCCTCTCAGACGTAATTGGTGCTGCCAGGAGCAGACATTGTCAAGAAAAACCCTAAACCATTTTAAATGCCATATTCTGAAGGTCTTTGAAAGGTTTGAAGACTATCTATCTATCTCAAATATATTTCTGTATATCTAGAAAACCTAACTTACCTAACTATAAGTTCTGACTATTATAAGCAACTATCTATAATCTGTATTCAATTATGCATTACATTTTAAAAGATCAGTATAAGCACAATACTTAATCAAGAGGAGAAATATAAGCATCACAAAATTGACCTTGATTTTGTCTCAATAAATGAAAAACAATACCCATACCATAATTCCCCTTTTTACCATTAAAAAAGATTGGCTGTGATCACTAGCCAATTATAAACAATCCCATTTAAATGAAAACAAAGATTTATAAACAAGATGGGAATTGGGACGTCGCTCATTCCAAACTGCTTCCTGCTGGAAGGGGGCGCTGTTCACACCATGGGGATCATGACAAAACTCAGAAACCTGTATAAGTCCGTATTTTCGGGGTCTGTAAGGCTGTATCATCTTAGCTGGCTCAATTGTTGGAACCCCTGGTCCACTGCTTCCGGGGGTCTTGGTTGGTGAAACCACAGAAGCCTGGAAGGAATTCTCAGCTTTTCATTTTCTGTAGAAACCTAAATAAAATCTCCTTTTCCGAGTAACATATCCTTATACTTAAATTTTGAAGTCAAGGCATTTTCAAAAGATATAAGTTGAATTAATTTAGCAGCATTTATAATCAAGTGTACTTTAGCAGCTGTTCCTTCCTGAGCAATTATAAAACTGAAAAACACAATAGTGTACAGTATCCAGACTCTCTGTGTATTTTCCATCTTTGTGTGGCTTATTTATTTATCTATTATTATTATTATTCTATTTCTTTCACTTTTGTTTATTTTTCTCTGAGACAGGGTTTCTCTTCGGAAACCTGCCTGCCTCTGCCTCTGGGGCAATTCCTACCGTCGTGCGCCACCACAGCCGGCTTTTGCAGAGGTAATGGCTGTTATGGGTATACCTAAAACAATAAAAACTGACAATGGTCCAGCATATGTCTCCAGTAAATTGGAACAATTCTTCAAATATTATAATATAAAACATGTAACTGGTATACCTTACAATCCCACTTCTGACACCATTATGTTAAGAGAAGCTTTTTCCTTTGCTAGCCGCTTTGGTTTATTCCCCGCCAGCCGCCTGGGCTCTGCCTCATTGCAGTCCCCAAATAAACACACAGGACGCTGTATTAATTATGAAGCTGTTGGCCTTGCTTTTCTCTTACTGGCTAGCTCTGCCTTAAGTAATTACCCCATAATTGTTAATCTAAGTATGTTTCTTACCGGAGAATAGTTCCCGGCTTCTTACCCCTATGGCGTCACATGTCGACTCTCTTGTCTTTCTCCTTCCCAGAGTTCTCCTGGACTCCTAGTCCCTCCTATCTAGGTTTCCTATAGGCTCAACAGTACTTTATTAGCATAAGACTTCCCCAACACTTACGGTGTACAATTCCAATTCAAACGCTAACATCGATGAACCAGTGAGAAGAACTGAGACGATTAAGCAGGGACTCTGCAGAGATTGACATTATCTCAATACCAGAATGAAGTACAGTACCGGGTAGGGGGGAGAACACACATACATATTTATTCTTGCTTGTTCTTCATAATACTCACAGGACAGCAAAGCACAGCTAAATCCATTTTAGGAATGGGGTAATTGGGGCTCAAAGAGGTTAAGGGACACAGGGTGGCACACAGAGGTTGACTGGGTGAGGTTAATGAACCTTTGGTCCTATTTAGTCCCTCACTTGGGCAAGCCCTTTCAAGGCACCCAGTATCCAGTAATTAACATTTGAAAGTTTAAGTTCTTTCTCTGTAGCATCCTTTATTAGGGAGAGAGAACACGCCACAGTGCACATGTGGAGGCCAAAGGACAACTTGCAAGGATCAACTCTCTCCTTCTACTCGGGCTCGGAGGCAAGCACCTTTACCCACTCAGCCACCTCACCAGCCCTATATGTTTTTGAAAGAAGGGACCAGAAACTGCATTAGCCTCAGGTGATTGGTGCAAGTCACAGAACGTGGCCCTAGACATATAGCAACAAAGTGCCAAAACTGAGAGTTTAACCCGTACCATCTGATGGAAGGGGTTCTTTCAGCTGCCCATCACATTCTGCAGTACAAATGGGAGACTTAGGAAATACTAACTTAGGATTCTAGTGAAGGGTGGAAGATAAGAGCTCCCAGTACCACCAAAATTCAAACTGGAGCAGCTCACATGCAGACCTGGACTAGATGGAGGCACTAGCCACAGGCCCGGCTACCCAGTGGCTCACACAGATTCCTTTTCATTCTTTTGTTTTTTAAAAATCCACTGTTTGTATAGAACTCACCATGTAGAATTAGGTAGAAAAACTGGAGGAAAGCATCCGTAACTAAGCAACCATGGGAGGATAACTACAAATCTGTCCGTTCTGAGTACGAGAGAGGAAGAGCCCAGTTCTAACAGATCCCCACTGGGATGGATGCCTTATGTCCCCCAAGTCTTTGACAGGAGAGGGTGCAGTTCATTACTGGGACATATCTAGGCATCTTTGGGCCACCAAAGTCTAGTTCAACCTCCGTATTGAGTTGGTGAAGCCAGCTCCAGATGGAATTACGTCTCTGGTCGTCAGTGTTTGGCTACCAACCCTAAGAGTCTTGTTCTCCATTTCCTGTCCGGCACAAGCCCTGCAAGGGAGGTGGGAGAGAAAGAGTGGGGGAGGAGAAGGGAGAGGGGTTGGGTGGGAACGACATCAAGCAGGAATGCGCCAGTCAGCGGGGGTGGATTTTCCACTTGGATCTGTGTGGAAACCTGATCCTGCCTCTATTTTTGGTCTCCTTCTCTAACAACCTTTCACCAGATTGGAATTTTTCTGCACCTGTAACACATTTTTAATGTAATAAGTCTAGGAGAAACCAGGTATTATATCATGCTGGGGCCTGTGTTTCTAGGAGCAAAAGTAGCCCAGACCCCAGTTTATCCCTATAGGGGATTAGTGTATTAGTCACCCTGTAAAAACTAAATTTCTTAAATGTTTCTTTTAGCACTTGCTTATAAAAGGTGAAGAGGGGAGCCATGAGTGTGTCTGTGCTCCCTGCCCCCACGCTCTTCACACATGCACATGCATTCTGTCAATTACCTATGAACCCAAATTCCACAAAATCAAATCCAGAGCTATTGGCCTTGACTATTACGATTACCTTTGCCATGTCGCCATGTCGGACTTTGTCCTGGTTTGGGTGAGGGCAAGTGGTGACTAGACTCATTCCTATATTAGACACCCCTTGGGAGTGTAAGTAAGTTAGCTATTTAAGGTAAAACAATTAGCTAGTGTGGCTAGGGTAGCCCTTTGAAAACAGGGTGACTGGG